TCTACACTCAGCTTTCTCCAACAATATTTTCTTCTTCTGGTAAATTGTCTTCTTGAATATATGTGTGTTGTATGTGTATGTGTGTGTGTGCGTGTGAGTGTGTGTGTGCGTGCATGCGTGCGTGTGTAAATATGTATAAGCGTGTGTGTGTAAGCGTGGGTGTAAGTGTGTGTGTAAGTGTGTGTAAGTGTGTGTAAGTGTGTGTAAGTGTGAGTATGTGTGTGTGTAAGTGTGTGTGTGTGTGTAAGTGTGTGTAAGTGTGTGTAAGTGTGTGTAAGTGTGTGTAAATGTGTGTGTGTAAATGTGTGTGTAAGTGTGTGTAAGTGTGTATAAGTGTGTGTGTGCAAGTGTGTGTAAATGTGTGTGTAAATGTGTGTGTAAGTGTGTGTAAGTGTGTGTAAGTGTGTGTAAGTGTGTGTAAGTGTGTGTAAATGTGTGTGTGTAAATGTGTGTGTAAGTGTGTGTAAGTGTGTATAAGTGTGTGTGTGCAAGTGTGTGTAAATGTGTGTGTAAATGTGTGTGTAAGTGTGTGTAAGTGTGTGTAAGTGTGTGTGTAAGTGTGTATAAGTGTGCGTGTGTAAGTGTGTGTAAGTATGTGTAAATGTGTGTGTAAATGTGTGTAAGTGTGTGTAAGTATGTGTAAATGTGTGTGTGTGTAACTGTGTATGTTATAACTATGTCTGTTTATCAACACTTTTTATTCATATCTCTCATACATATAATTCAGTCTTTCAATTAATTGAATATTTAAATAACTTCTATAAACAGGACACCCTAATAAGTTGCATTTGGTGCGTATTTAAAACCACAAATCAACTAAATTATTCGTATAGTGTATATTGTAATAATAGAAGACGAAACATCAACAAAGTGAATATTAAAACGTTCAGCTTTAAAAAAGCAATAAGTCAGCCTTTGACATTCTGGCGAAGTTTTTTTTGCGAACAACTCAGTGAAAGGTGGAAAAAATATACACTCTTTTTATAGCTTAACGAATGTTATTTTCTATGCGCTTAATTAATTAGGATATTAAATACGCATTAATTATTTAAAATCCTTAAGGTGTACCGAAAAAGTGACATTACATTAATTAAATTGACTGGGTAAATTTCGTTTAGGGGTAGGGGGGGGGGGGGAGCACAGCCATCCCGAAGGGATGCCTGGAAGAAGCTCTGGTTCACTGAGACGGGGGGGGGGGGCAATGTTGGGCTTTATTGAATGGTGTGATGATTTGTAGGCAACGAAATGATTAATTGGGGTTTGGGGTTAAGATAACGACAGCGTGATTTTGTATTCTCAAATGCAAAATTTTCTCAAATGATTGCTGATAAATATTTTTATTTATTTTATTTTTTTATTTTTTTTTTATTTTTTTTTTTTTATTTTTTTTTTTTTTTAATTTTTTTTTTTTTTTTTTTTTTTTCTTTTTTTTTTTTTTTCTTTTTTTTTTTCTTTTTTTTTGCTGATAAATATTTTTAAAATAGCTAAATCGATAATTTTTTTGGCCGTTTTTACAGATAAGCTCGAATAACTTTAAAAAAAACTGAATCGGATTTTGTTTAATATCTTGGTAAGTAAAACTCTAGTTTCTGAGGAAATGCCTCAAATAGAAGTAAATTTTTAAAAAAATAATCACTCCCTTATTCTATACATAAATAAAACATACAAAATATTCTATTTTCTGAGCATATACCACAAATAGAAACAAAATCTGTTCACATGTGTCATACAACATTAGCAGAACTACAGGAAGGCATAAAGTTATCTCCCCTTTAAAGTTCATTCCCTTTAAATGTTACAATTTTATTTTATTTTTTATTAGGTTTATACAAGATGCTATTTTCGAATACCATTTTTTCTTGCTATTTAATTTTTATTTAACGTTCAACATAAACTTTTCGGAGAGCATAAATTAATTATGTTATCCATTTTGGAATATTTATTTTGTGTATTGATCTCGGAAAATTTTGTGTAGCACGAAGTCATGCTGTGTTGTGTTGTGGTGTGTCGTGTTGCGTTATGGTGTGGTGTGTGGTGTGTCGTGTTGCGTTATGGTGTGGTGTGTGGTGTGTCGTGTTGCGTTATGGTGTGTGGTGTGTCGTGTTGCTTGTGGTGTGTCGTGTGTCGTGTTGTGGTGTGTGGGGTGTCGTGTTGCTTGTGGTGTGTCTTGTGTCGTGTTGTGGTGTGTCGTGTTGCGTTGCGTTGTGGTGTGGTGTGTGGGGTGTCGTGTTGCTTGTGGTGTGTCGTGTGTTGTGTTGTGGTGTGTGGTGTGTCGTGTTGCTTGTGGTGTGTGGGGTCTCGTGTTGCTTGTGGTGCGTTGTGATGCGTTGTGGTGTGTTGTGATGCATTGTGGTGTGTTTATTTCAACATGTTCCCAAATGTTTTCAAACAGAGAACAAGTCTAGATCCCCCTCCCCATTACGTATATTACTGATGTATTTAGCTACAAGTCTAGAAACCCCACCTCTTGCATATGCCTATAAGACTGATGTATTTAGATACACTAATCCTCTAATAATCCTCCAGCAATAATCACGACGATAATCTCAAATTACAAACAAAATTATTTTTGCAATGATAAGGCTTTGTGATGTAAGTTCGAATTTTATTTTAATGATCTGGATGTTTTGAAATTCGACCTATAGAATCAGATCGAATTCCTTTTCCTTTTATTTTAATTAATATTTTTTTCTGAATACTTGCAATATAGTTTATAGTTTTTTTTATTATTAAACTTGTCAATATTATAAATACTATCTACCAACCCTATATATTAACGGTGTTTAGATAGAATTTTTTTTCTCACAGAAAACACCATCTCATAAATTCGATTTTGTTTCAGGTTTAACATTCCAACTTTGACATTTTGCCTTGTAAGATTTCTATTTTCCTCCAGGGCTTATAGCGCCTGGATATTATAAAATGTGTTGCGACTAGCATTAATTCAGGATTTGGCTTAAGGAAATTCTGCTGTAATCTAAACTTAGCTTTGGTTAAGAAACCCAGTTTATTTTATGTTAGGCTTCTGAACTGGGAATGTGCATTCAGGCGCAGCTGCTGCAAACTTGTCTGATTTTCAGAGAATCTCACCTGCAAGGTGATTTTACATTGAAATGAGTTAAGCAAATTGATGATGAATCAACAGTCTGAAGTAAATTATAGCGTACTTATATATATATCTGTTTCTTTTTTTTTGCGTTGGGGGATTTTTCGTATAATTTAAAACGTAATAATGAAATTATTACCCTTCCTAAAATATAATGGTCAAGACTGTTTCCAATTTCGTAAAGTGAGCATTTACTTTTGACCATGTCCCACTGCCAAAATATATTTTATCTTGCAGATTATTTCCCCATTTCAAATTATATATAGTTCGGATTATTTCCCCTAAGATATTTTTCCCTTCCAGATTGTTTCACTTTTTTTTTAAATTGTATATAATTTTGATTATTTCCCCCTGCTAAGATATATGGTATCATATGGATTCTTTCCCCTCTCCCTAAACAACATCTTTTTATCAGACAACACACCTTGCTAACCAAGCTAGGTATTATATGTTAATTAAATGACCAGCTCCTATCCATGACATGAGTGAACTAGTGGAGATATGTAACAAATGGACTCGGGTTGGGAATGGATCGAATTATGGGCCTACACGTCTGGGTAGAAAGATCTGGAATCGATGTTGGCGTCGACTGGTCCATGGAATTGATGCCGTCGTCTACCAGTCCGTTTCGCGTCTGGGCCCTCTATCTTTCTTGTTGACACAAACGATTAGATAACATGAGCTGGGGAGGGGGCAGCCCGTCGGGCAGGGCGCCGGGCAGGGCGTCGGGCAGGGCGCGGGGGGTTGGTATGAGAAACAACACGATAATGCAATTATGTTTGTGTATTGATTTATGTTATTGATTTCTAGTTTTCTATCAAAATGTGACATTTTATTTGTATCAATAAAAAATAAATTGTATTAAAAATATAATAATACGATCAGACACACGATCAAACACACCTTATTCGTTACTCTATCTCACAGTAACTGTTTTGTTTAATTTCATCTAGCGAGATTATAAAGATCTAGTTGAGCTCTTTTGCTGAAATTGGCATATTAATAATATAACAGTACCAAATATTAGCTACATTTTGAAATTTTAATCAATAACGATCTTAAATTTTTAAATGAAATTTCATTATTTCATTTCAACTTTATTTCAGTAACGCGGATTTTTTAAATAATTTTAGAACTTTTCCATTTTGACAGTATGCGTCTGAACTAAACCATATTCAAACTGCGCTTATGGCTGGTAGAAATGAGATCAATGTCGCTAGTAATTTCGCGGATATAATTGTAGGATTAAGCTGGAAGAAAAGTCGGCCCTGTTGTAACTGGTGTATGACATGCACGGCATCAGTTATATGAGAATGTGGGCCAGCATTGTGGTGGGTGGGTGTGGTGGGATGTCAGTTCTGTGAGAGTGGGCCAGCATTGTGGTGGGTGGGTGTGGTGGGATGTCAGTTCTGTGAGAGTGGGCCAGCATTGTGGTGGGTGGGTGTGGTGGGATGTCAGTTCTGTGAGAGTGGGCCAGCATTGTGGTGGGTGGGTGTGGTGGGATGTCAGTTCTGTGAGAGTGGGCCAGCATTGTGGTGGGTGGGTGTGGTGGGATGTCAGTTCTGTGAGAGTGGGCCAGCATTGTGGTGGGTGGGTGTGGTGGGATGTCTTCACAACACGTTATTTGCCTGGGTTAAATATGGTTGGTTGTCATGTGGTGAGATGTTACTGTAAAACTATTGATGGAATTCTCGTGATGAGTAGTTACTGTAAATCTATTGATAGAATTCTTGGGGTAGCAGTTACTGTAAATCTATTGATGGAATTCTTGGGGTGAGCAGTTACTGTAAATCTATTGATGGAATTCTCGTGATGAACCTATCGCGACATCCATGTGCTAGATGTTCTGCTGTAAACGTTTTAATATTAATTTTTTTCTTCGGTTTTTTCCCAGGATGTCTTGTATCTGACGTCTGCGGAAGTGACGAAATTTGCACCAATGGTAAGTCTTCTTTTCGCGTCGCGTCTGCCACAAGGGTAAATATTTGACAGTCTGTTCTGTACTGGTAGTCAAACAATTTATTCAGAACAATTTATATTTAAAGCGTAATAATCCCTTTATTTTTTTAAATTTCTTTTATTGTGTTAATTGACCAGGTTTTCTAACTTTTTGTGTCCTTTTCTGAGTTAGAAGGAGGTTCTAATTTTCAGAAAATATATTTAAGACAATCTTTTTTCTCAACACAAAACATCTGTGCTAGAGATACTGATCACCAAATGGAATTTACTAAACAACTATTTGGTCAGATTATATTTGATTTTCTATATTAATCAAACGTTTTAGAATTAATAAAAACTCAAACACCCACAGTATAGAAACGCTAAATGTCATGACTATATTTGTAGTCTTGCTTAAAGTGTAGGAAGTTATGCAATACCCAATACTCCCCCCCCCCCCACACCCACTCACCAATTGAGTTAGCTGACGTTTAACCCTCTCTAGCCTGAGCTGTAGATTGAAATTAACCCTAAGATTCCGTCTGCTGGACTCTAGTCGTGGCCCCCTGGGGTGGGTCATTATGATTGTTTTAAACTATTAGACCAAACGTCCCCCACTGTAGAGCCAAACTTCAACTGTGTCTCAGCTTTTTGGAGATACACCCACACACCTCACCCACACACCTCACCCACACACCTCACCCACACACCTCACCCACACACCTCACCCACACACCTCACCCACACACCTCACCCACACACCTCACCCACACACCTCACCCACACACCTCGCCCACATACCTCACTCACACACCTCACCCACACACCTCGCCCACATACCTCACTCACACACCTCACCTACACACCTCGCCCCCACACCTCACACACACTACTGATGTCTACTGTCTTGAACTGTCCCCCACGTCTTTTAGAGACACCCACACACCTCACCCACACACATCACACACATTCATTACTGATGAGGCTACCATGTTAAACTGTCCCCACTTCTCCTACACACCTCCCATATACACTACTGATGAAGCTACGGTCTTCAACTGTCCCTCACGTCTTTGAGAGAGACACCCACCTCCCCCCCTCCCCCCCCCCCCCAACATACACTACTGAAGAGGCTATCATCTTGAACTGTCCCCATTTATATGAGAGAGACACCCACATACCTCCCCCCCCCCCAACATACACTACTGAAGAGGCTATCATCTTGAACTGTCCCCATTTCTATGAGAGAGACACCCCCACACCTCCCCCCCCAACATACACTACTGAAGAGGCTATCATCTTGAACTGTCCCCACTTCTATGAGAGAGACACCCACTCACCTCCCCCCCCCAACATACACTACTGAAGTGGCTATCATCTTGAACTGTCCCCACTTCTATGAGAGAGACACCCACACACCTCCCACACCTCTCAATTTGAACCTTGCCTCCATCGATTCGAGAGGCTCCCCCCCACACACACACACTCCCGAGAGAGACCCCAACACATCGTCCCACACACCCTCACATCCCCACACACTACTAATGGCGCCCCCATCTCGAAATGTCACCCTGTCGCTTCGAGAAACACCCCCATCCCCCACCCCCACACACAAAAAGTTATCTAGAAGATCACGTCGAGAGCTTGGAGCTGAATCAATAAACTGAAGTTAACCAACAGGAGCTTAAACAATAAACTGAAGTTAACCAACAGTCAAAACACCAGAATTTTAATGTAAGCCTTGAAATGAAATTACTGTCTTCAGAAACACAGGCATCTAGTTGTATGAATTCAACAGACGCAATATAAGAGAACTTACATCAACAATTTATTGCTTAGTGTTACGTCATTAAACCTTTATATTTTATAAGAAAGTATCAAATTTATTATCTTTTTTAAAGTATCAAATTTATTATCTTTTTTTAAAGCCAACTGATATCACGAATATACCCTTTAAAAATTAATCGTTGTTGTTATTTTTATTTTTATCTTGATCGATTTGCAACCAAGCTTTTAAACGTGGGATCCGACGATTAAAACTGGGGAAGCAGAGTTTGGTTAATTTTATGACTACGTCGAACGATTAAGTTGTAAGACAAAGACATTGTCCAGCTTCCATTTGAAAAGCTTATCTAACTTCCCAATTGCCGCCAGGTACTTATTAAAACTAGGCCTACTCAGAGAATTCAGGTTACCTTGAACTTAAGACTCCCGCAGCAATGCCGACCTCTGACATCACGTGACTCTCCTCGCTAACAATAACATACAAAAAAATGTTAATCAACAAATGCTCTGCTCTTGATCTTTTTAAAAGCCCCCACAAAAAACTGACGCCTTGCATCTTGCTTTGTCCAATCGATTCAATCAATTGCTGCAGTTTCCCGTTTTGTGTTTGACGGGAAATGAAAAAAAATAACCAATCGTTACCTGGGCTAAGTTCTGTGAAGCTCCATCAGACTCTACTCAACCCTTAGTGATGTAACGCAACATGTTATGTGAAGCTGCATCAGACTCTACTCAACCCTTAGTAATGTACCGCTATATGTTCTGTAGAGCTGCATCAGACTCTATTTGACCCTTAGTGATGTATCGCTACATGTTTTGTAGAGCTGCATCAGACTCTACCCAACCCTTAGTGTTGTGCCGCTACCTGTTCTGCGGATCTGCGGAGGTGCATCAAATTCTCCTGAACAAATTCGTGAGCCGCTAAATGTTCTGCGGATCCGCACCAACCGCAACCGAAACGTTACAACAACGTGCTAAATGTTTATCGTTGAGCTTCCCCGGTGACTTCCCTCTTCTTAAAACTGGACTTGAGTGAGCAGTGTCTAAAAATAGACTTGAGTGAGCAGTGTCTAAAAATAGACTTGAGTGAGCAGTGTCTAAAAATAGACTTGAGTGAGCAGTGTCTAAAAATGGACTTGAGTGAGCAGTGTCTAAAAATAGAATTGAGTGAGCAGTGTCTAAAAATGGACTTGAGTGAGCAGTGTCTAAAAATGGACTTGAGTGAGCAGTGACTAAAAATGGACTTGAGTGAGCAGTGTCTAAAAATGGACTTGAGTGAGCAGTGTCTAAAAAAATAGACTTGAGTGAGCAGTGTCTAAAATTGGACTTTAGTGAGCAGTGTCCAAAAATAGACTTGAGTGAGCAGTGTCTAAAAATGGACTTGAGTGAGCAGTGTCTAAAATGGACTTGAGTGAGCAGTGTCTAAAATGAACTTGAGTGAGCAGTGTCTAAAACAGACTTGAGTGAGCAGTCTCTAAAATGGATTTGAGTGAGCAGTGTCTAAAAATGGACTTGAGTGAGCAGTGTCTAAAAATATCCTTGAGTGAGCAGTGTCTAAAACTGGACTTGAGTGAGCAGTGTCTAAAAATGGACTTGAGTGAGCAGTGTCTAAAAATATCCTTGAGTGAGCAGTGTCTAAAATGGACTAGAGTGAGCAGTGTCTAAAAATGGACTAGAGTGAGAAGTGTCTAAAAACGGACTTGAGTGAGCAGTGTCTAAAAATGGACTAGAGTGAGCAGTGTCTAAAAGCACGCGCCTTTTGTTTCAAGTCATCGATTTCTCCCGTCCTCAGCCTAAGCCGAAAGACGTGTCAACAATCGCTGGCCTGGTTCTAATTGTTCACGGTTTTTGTCAATCGGAGTTTGAACGTTACACGTAGTCACAACACAGTGAACATTTGTCAATCGAAGTTTGAACGTTATACGTAGTTACAACACAGTGAACATTTGTCAATCGAAGTTTGAACGTTACACGTAGTTACAACACAGTGAACATTTGTCAATCGAAGTTTGAACGTTACACGTAGTTGCAACACAGTGAACATTTCTCAAAAGTATTACTGTCATTTTAATTAGATTTCAAAAAAACAGAATACTTTCATAGTATACATTTATTTCTGTCATTTTAATTAGATATCACAAAAAGAAAAGATGCTATCAAAAGAATACATTTATTACTGTAAATATTAATAGATATAAAAGAAACAAAAACGCATTAGGAAATATAAAAATAATTTAATTAGAATTACAATGCAAGAAAGTCATTAAATTACCCATGCATCAATAACACATTAAACAAAATTATCCTTATTTTAATAGAGTAATTGATTCTTTTGTAAAAACATAATGTATTGATAACAATTAATTAATTACAAGCGACGCTGTAGAAAGCCAAACAAGATTTAAGACCATATCGATCAACACAAAACTTCGATCTATGAAATTGATCGATGTCCAGTTTTGATCTAGCCCCAGGCGTACTACTCAACTTGATTGGGTTTATTGGACGCGCTGACCGATGATCGATAGGTTAGCGTTAGGAAAGAATGTGATTTGAACGATGACCAAGACTTGAACTGTGCGTCGTGATTTTTTTTTTAGTCAATCCGTGATGTTATCTGAGGCGTTGTGTCAATATTTTATTAAATTTTTTTTAGTCTGAATGCAGGCGTGAGTCAATAATGTTTTAGTTCTTACACGCAATCTCACTTCTGCAATTTTTTTCTTGATTGTGAACACCGCCTTAAGACTAAATTTTTGTAGAATCTGAACATTGTCATATGTTTATATGTGTGTACGTCTTGATTAGTCTAGCCTTAACACGCCATTTAATCAATACAAGCTCCTGTCTATTAAAATCTGAACACGGCCTTAATGCAATACCACTGTTGTGTTTTGTATTAATCTGAACGCGGCTTTATAAATTAGTTTCAATTCGGATCAATGAATCCGTTTTTTTTTTTATATTTCTTTTCCACTTCCCTAGTTTCGTTTCTGATTTTCTTAGTGTTGATTGCAAGGCTGCTCTTAATTGTCCCCGACCCCTTGACCCCGGCGTGTTAACCCTAGCCAAATAACACGGTTAAACCGAGCAGTACTAAAGTTAAACCCGCCCACATAACACGGTTAAACCGAGCAACACTCAAGTTAAACTCGCCCACATAACACGGTTAAACCGAGCAGCACTCAAGTTAAACCCGCTCACCTAACATGGTTAAAC